TTAAGAGTTACCCTATTAGGTATAAAGTAATACTGTGCTTCTAATTTTCATTTCTTCAATGACTAATGATGTTGATTAATCGCTGTTTTTATGCAACTTCTTTTTTTTTTCCATTTATTTTTATTAGTTGGAGGCTAATTACTTTACAACATTGCAGTGGTTTTTGTCATACATTGAAATGAATTAGCCATGGATTTCATTCCCACCAACAGTGTAAGAGGGTTCCCTTTTCTCCACACCCTCTCCAGCATTTATTGCTTGTAGACTTTTGGATAGCAGCCATCCTGACTGCCGTGTAATGGTACCTCATTGTGGTTTTGATTTGCATTTCTCTGATAATGAGTGACCTTGAGCATCTTTTCATGTGTTTGTTAGCCATCTGTATGTCTTCCTTGGAGAAATGTCTGTTGAGTTCTTTGGCCTATTTTTTGATTGGGTCATTTATTTTTCTGGAGTTGAGCTGGAGGAGTTGCTTGTATATTTTTGAGATTAATCCTTTGTCTGTTATGCAACTTCTTTCAAAACATATTGATACTAGAGTTATAGGTAAAGGAGCAATACTTCTGAGTATACAATGGAGACATTCTGACTAATACAAGTGTGCACACTTGTGGGGGGGGAACCTCTGGAGGGGAAAAGCAGGTTTCTTAAGCCTACTATAAGGGCACGCTTGCACAGAAGATTTCCCAGCCATAATTAAGGCACTGATCCCTTCTGACTGGAAAAGTCTTCAGATTTATTATCAACACAAAACATTCACCTGAAGTTCAGAAGAAAAACTAAAGCAGATGCACTCAACAATTCTGTATCTACAAGTATAAATAATTCGGTCTAAGTTTCTGTCAATTTCCAAAAGAATGCCAGACACAGAAAAGAAAAAAAGTAAAATTGTTACTGTTTTTCTGATGATTTATTTTTAATATATAAACAACATGTGCTGGGTTCCAACTATTTGATAAGTACTATACTGAGAGAATTCACATATACTTTCACAAGAGCTGACTAAACTTACATACCTAGTAATCAGCAGAGTTCAGGTTTTCCTGAACTGAAATCTAGTGCTCTTACTACATTACCACATGCTGTTCACTCATGATGGTAAATCGCGGCCACTGACACCCTGTGCATGAGTAAACGTGTGTGCGCCTAGTTGCTCAGTCATGTCCAACTTTTTGCAACCCCCTGGACTGTAGCCCGCCAGGATCCTCTGTCCACAGGGATTCTCCAAGAAAGAATGCTGGAGTGGGTCGCCATGCCCTCCTCCAGGGGATCTTCCCCACCCAGGGATCAAACCCAGGCAGGTGTCCCAAACTGCAGGCAGATTCATTACCACCGGGGAAGCATGAGTAAATGGTACTCCTTAAAGAACATTTGCAAAGTTAAAAGCATGAAAATGCTTTCCAATATACAGAGCGTTAAGTATGCATTTTGTGGCATAAGACAAACCTATGTTCAATCCTTGCTTCCTCATCTACTATTTATGTGACTTTGGGAGTTATTTATTCTCCATGATCTAGTTTGTGCTGTGAATTAAATGATACTGTATGTAAACTACCATAGGATCTAATATATATTAAGTTCTCAAATATTAGCTCTTATCATTATAACAAAAATATAAGTTTTAGAGAAACTGAAACCCTCATAAATTGCTGATGAGAATGTAAAATAGTATAGTGACTATGGAAAACAGTTTAGCAGTTCCTCAAAAAAAAAAAAAGGCCATATGACCCAGCAATTTTATACACTCCTAGGTACACAGAGAAGAGAAAAATTCATGGCCACACTTTTATATCAACATTCATAGCAGAATTCCTAATAGCCAAAAGGTGAAAAAATCCAAATGATCATCAATTGAAAGTGGATAAATAAAATGTATTAACCATAAAATGGAAGAATGTTTTGCAATAAAAAGAAATGGAGTACTAATATATACTACATATAACATGAATAAACTTTCAAATCATTATACTAAATGAAGGAGACACAGAAGGCCACACATTTTATGATTTCACCCATAAGGAATGTTCAAAACACGCAAATTCATAGAGACAGAAAGGAGAGTGAGAGCTGGCCAGGATCTGAGCAGGAAGGGGTTGGGACTGGAACAGATTGCTAATGGGTACAGAGTTTCTGCTTGGGGTGATGGAAATCTTTTGGAATTACATAGTGGTATGGCTGGACAACATAATGAATATACTAAAAATCAAGGAATATATTTTAATATGGAGAATTTTATGTTGTATGAATTATACCTCAATTTTAAAAAGAAAATCACAACTTAATAAACAAAGGCCAAAAAAATGAAACATAACCACCTTAGCTTATTTTTGAAAAATAAACACAGCCATATAGAACTATCTACCCCTTGTCAAAATATGTCCAAAATAACAAATGAAAAAAGGTGGTCCTTATGACTTCCTAATAGATGACAAGCTGCCTAAGGAATAAAAGCAATGAGCCTTACTGAAACTGCCATTCTGATTAAAGGTATCTATCGACAAAATGGGCTTCCCTGTTGACTCAGACTATAAACAATCTGCCTGCAATGCAGGACACCCAGATTCTATCCCCCAACCAATAATGACAAAGAAGCTTAAGTTGAACAGTTCTATGACCTACAAGACCTTCTAGAACCAAAACAAATGAAAAAAAAAAAAGGTCCTTTCCATCACAGGGGACTGGAATGCAAAAGTAGTAAGTCAAGAGATACACCTGGAGTAACAGGCAAGTCTGGCCTTGGAGTACAAAATGAAGCAGGGAAAGGGGTAACAGTGTTTTGAGAAGAGAACGCACTAGTCACAGCAAACACCCTCTTCCAAAAACACAAGAGATGACTCTATACATGGACATCACCAAATGGTCAATACCAAAATCAGATTGATTATATTCTTCCCAGCTGAAGATGGAGAAGCTCTATACAGTCAGTAAAAACACAACCAGGAGCTGACTGTGGCTCAGATCATGAACTCCTTATTGCAAAATTTAGACTTAAATTGAAGAACATAGGGAGTATCACTAGGCCATTTAGGTATGATCTAAATCAAATCCCTTACTAATTATACAGTGGAAATGACAACTAGATTAAAGGGATTAGATCTGATAGAATGCTTGAAGACCTATGGACAGAGTTTTGTGACACTGTACAGGAGGAGGTAAAAAAGCAATTCTTAAAAAAAAGAAATGCAAAAAGGCAAAATGGCTGTCTGAGGAAGCCTTACAAATAGATGAGAAAAGAAGAGAAACGAAAGCAAACGAGAAAAGGAGATATACCCATCTGAATGCAAAGTTTCAAAGAATAGCAAAGAGAGATAAGAAAGCCTTCCTCAGTGATAAATGCAAAGAAATAGAGGAACTCAATAGAACGGGAAAGACTAGGGCTCTCTTCAAGAAAATTGGAGATATCAAGGGAATATTTCAAGCAAAGATGGGCACAATAAAAGACAGAAACAGTGCGGACCTAACAGAAGCAGAAGATATTAAGAAGAGGTGGCAAGAATACACAAAAGAACTATACAAAAAAGATCTTCATGACCTGGGTAACAACAATGGTATGATCACTCAGCTCTCACCTAGAGCCAGACATCCTAGAGTGTGAAATCAGGTGGGCCTTAGGAAGCATCACTATGAACAAAGCCGTAGAGGTGATAGAATTCCAGCTGAGCTATTTCAAATCCTAAAAGATGATGCTGTCGAAGTGCTGCACTCAATATGCCAGCAAATTTGGAAAACTCAGCAGTGGCCACAGGACTGGAAAAGGTCAGTTTTCATTCCAATCCCAAAGAAGGGCAATGCCAACAAATGTTAAAACTATTTATTTTAAATGCCAGCAAGGTTATGCTCAAAATCCTTCAAGCAAGGCTTCAACAGTACATGAACCAAGAACTTCCAGATGTATAAGCTCAATTTAGAAAAGGTAGAGGAACCAGAGATCAAATTGCCAGCATCTGATGGATCACAGAAAAAGAAAGAGAACTCCAGAAAAACATCTACTTCTGCTTCATTGACTACACTGAAGTCTTCGTGTGGATGACAACAAACTGTGGAAAATACTTAAAGAGATGGGAATACCAGACCACCTGACCTGCCTCCTGAGAAATCTGTGTGCAGGTCAAGAAGCAACAGTTAGAAACAGACATGGAACAACAGACTGGTTCCAAATTGGGAAAGGAATATGTCAAGTCTGTATACTGTCACCCTGTTTATTAACTTATTTGTAGAGTACATCATGTGAAATGCTAGGATGGATGAAGCACAAGCTAGAATGAAGATTGCCTGGAGAAATATTAATAACCTCAGATATGCAGATGACACCACTCTTATGAAAGCAAAGAGGAACTGTAGAGCCTCTTTGATGAGGGTGAAAGAAGAGTGAAAAAGCTAGCTTAAAATTCAGCATTCAAAAAATGGAGATCATGGCATCCCATTCCATCACTTCATGGCAAATAGATGGGGAAACAATGGAAACAGTGACAGACTTGATTTTCTTGGGCTCTAAAATTGCTGCGGACAGTGACTGCAGCCATGAAATGAAAAGACACTTGCTCCTTGGAAGGAAAGCTATGACAAAATTAGCATATTAAAAAGCAGAGATATTACTTTGCCAACAAAGGTGCGTCTAGTCAAAGCTGTGGTTTATTCAGTAGTCATGTACAGATGTGAGAGTTGGACCATAAAGAAGCCTGAGCACTGAAGAATTGATGCTTTTGAACTGTGGTGTTGGAGAAGACTCTTGAGAGTCCCTTGGACTGCAAGGAGATCCAACGAGTCCATCCTAAAGGAGATCAGTCCTGAATATTCATTGGAAGGACTGATGCTAAAGCTGAAACTCTAGTACTTTGGCCACCTGATGCAAAGAACTGACTCATTTGATAAAGACCCTGACACTGGGAAAGATTGAAGGCAGGAGCAGAAGGGAACGACAGAGGATGAGATGGTTGGATGGCATCACCGACTCAAAGGACATGAGTGTGCATGAACTCCAGGAGATGATGAAGGACAGGGAAGACTGGCGTGCTGCAATCCATGGGGGTGCAAAGAGTCAGACACAACTGAGTGACTGAACAAGAACCATTATCTAACTTAATCACTTTCCAAAGAGTTCTGCGATTATCTATTATCTTCCCTTTACTTTTGAGGGACAAATGAGGTTAATTTTCTGTTGAGTGGTAGATAGACACCCCAGAAAAGACACATTAGGTTATTTTCTACTAAATGTCATTATCCCTCTAGTACTGAATACCAGGAAATATTCTGCTTATCCAAATAAACATATTTATTTTCATATTTTAACATTTCTTAAAATCAAGAGCCTTTTAAACTCCATTGATTACTACATTCAGTGTGACAGTATTTCTTTTTTCACTGGAAAACTGTCTCTAAATCACTGGTAAGGCATGCACCGAAGAAATCACAAAACTGAAGAAAAATAGCAGTAATAAATTACCATTTGTCTCTTAGAAATAATTCAGAGATAAAGGAAATCAATTCCTTTAAAGGAGAATTGATTAAAAATTAGCTTTTCTATTACTTTTAGGGCCTTTTTACTGCTGCGTTTGGGCAGGAGGCAGGGTGGCAGGAAAGCAGAGGCACAGGTACTGAATTTGTTGAAGGCACATGTCTGTTTATCCATGGCTAAGATGTCTTAACTTGCTCATGTGGTATCTAAAGTCATTAGCAATCACAACAAACAGAGGAGTTTCATGGAAGCATAAGAGTTTACTGGCAGAGAAGTTTTTTTTATGACTCACCAAGTAAAAGCAATGTGAAGCCCGACAAGGCCAAGGTAAATCCAACTAATAGGTTAACAGATCTCTGCAGAACTGCTATTTTAAATTTCTACTAACTAGATTTCTTTATTTTTAGGAGGGTAACTTCACCTTAAACGTCACCAGCTAGATCTTCAGGTTCCTTTACATACTGGATGATATGGGAGCATATATGTTAACAAGTCCAGGATACAGCACAACAATGAATGCCCTTCTTGAGGTGAGCTGCTAGACACCTCTCTTTGCCTCTATCAGGTATCAAGACTCACTGACTCTACCTTCCAAATATTGATAGCTCTCACCTAAATCCTTTTCCTTCCATGTTGCTGCTGTTTACTCAGTCGTGTCTAACTCTTTGTGATCCCATGGACTATAGCCCGCCAAGCTCCTCTGTCCATGGGATTTCCCAGGCAAGAATACTGGAATGGGTTGTCATTTCCTTCTCCAGAGGATCTTCCTGATCCAGGCATCAAACCTGCAACTCCAGCATTGCAGGTGGATTCTTTGCCATCTGAGCCATCAGGGAAGCCCTTTCTTTCCATACTTACTGCCAAAACCTTAATTCAGGCCTCTTAATTAGTTGGTTGAATTATTACAGTAACTTTCTTTCACATGAACCCTAGGCTTCCACTCACTGCCATTCTCCATATTATAGTGAAGCCAAACTATTGGTAATTTCCTAGCAAATTTCTATTCATTCTACAGGTCTCATTTAACTGTTTAAAGAGAACCACAACAAGACACGGCAAACATGCCATTGCTGACTGATTTGTGGCAGCAGTGTAGTCTGCTAAACTAGGGTTGGAGGAAAAGCTTAGATTGGTAACGTCTGCTATGAGCCAAAGACTAAGGTCTAACAGATAATGGATATTTGCTCTATATTTAAACAGAATTTGCTCTCCATAATACAAATGCACAACAGTACCACTTTGAGAAAGATAAAAGATCAAAAGACGTGTTAATGGGGAAGGTAAAATTTCCACTAAAAAATATCTAATGTAACCAATAAATAGAACTAAGAAGTAAACACGCAGTTAATCTTATTAGCAGTCAAGTGAAAGAAAACTGAAATAATTTAAATAATTAATTCACCTAATATTGATGTATAAAAGCTGCAAAAAGCATTCAAGATGCTTATAATTTACAACAAAGACAAATATAAGAGGCAATACCAACAGTATTTTAAAGCACTAAATTCAGGAAGCACTGGGCTTGAATGCTGGCTCTGCCATTTCTAGCAATGTGAGATCTGTCTGGTTATTCAGTTTCTCAAAATCAACTACCTTGTGCATAAGAGGAGGATAATATTTAGTTCAAAAGAGAGCTATGTAAGGAAAGTATTAAACATGGTTCCTGGTACATAGTGTACATGCAATAAAAAATACATGGTAATTTCTATAATGGAGTTACACATAAATCCATGGAGGAACATTTGGAATGTCTTCCTGTGGAAAGAAAGGTCTCAAAAAGAAAGTTAATACTTGAGGTTACATTTAAAGGATAACTGTTTGACAAGCAAACAAGTTCGTGCGAAGGCGTCCTAGGCAGAAGATACAGTATATGCAAATACTCTAAGGAATGAAGAAGATCCCATGTTCCGTGAATGACACAGAAAATGAGTCAAGTAGCAGGGTACACAAGAAAGACTGCCATTAGATGTGGCTAAAGAAAGTGGCTAAATCATTAAGAGTTTTGAATGCTATGACAGAGTTTAGATTTTTAAGAGAAAGAGAATCACTAAATAACTCTTAAAGTGATATAACAGCTACTTTTAAACCTTTGTGTTTAATATGCCAGAATCATGGTTTGAGGTCACGATGTTGGTGGGGATATGAATACATCATGGATTCAATATGTATGAGAAGATCAAAGAATAAGATAATTTGGCTTTTGATACATGTTGAGTTTGATTTTGCTACAAGAAACAGTTCACTAGGCAGTCAGTAGGATATAATGGTGATGTTTGTAATCTGGTATAAAAGCCTGAAGTAGAGCTAAAGCTTTGGGAGTCAGTGTTTGATAAAACTTTTTCTAGCAATCAACTTTTAAGGAAACTGATTACTTAGCAACTCCATACAGATACATTTGTTCAGTCACTCCACATGCTTAGAGCTGGGTAAATGGTGGTCCAAAAGATAGACATTGTTCCAATCTACTTATGAACCAGCAGATGACTAATATGAGAGATACTGAAAAACAGGCAAAAGCAGCTCTGCAGCAAGTATAGATAAGCTCTTTGCTCATCTTTGTCATCTATCCAGCAGATGAATACCACGTGGCTTTCTGGTATTCTAATTTCATCAAGAACAAAACTAAGAGAAATAGAGAAATAGATGGTTAATGTGCCTTCTAGGCCAGGTGTCAAAACTTTTTCCTGTAAACAGCTGATAGTATTTTAGGCTTTGTTGATCATATAGTTCATTAAACAGATTACTGACCACTGCACTGTACAGCTTGAAAGCAGTCATAGATCATACGTAGATGAATAGGAGCAATGTCAAATACTAGTTTATTTACAAAACCAAGGAGATACCTGGATTTGGCTATCATGTGCCAGTTTCTTCTCTAGACTATCAACAGTACTCTTAACAATGTAGAGAGAAGAATGGCTAAAATTCCTTATACAGCTTTTGGTCACAAAGAAACTTGTACTTTGATTTTTAAATTATATTTCTAGCAAAACTATAACATAACTTTACATAAAGTTTATTATCAAATATTGATCAATTATACCCAGTATTGATATTATTATCAGGTTTCACATAAAATGTCCACGCCTGATGATTTAGAGAAGAAAAAAATATACACAAATAATCATAAGGTTCATTTTTGAAACAACGATTTCTTTCTTATTGCCCATAAAGAAAACTTCATTGCTTTTAAGGTTACAAAGTCAGAAAAACCTTGGTTGGTAACTTAGTTTTGTGTCCTTTGCAAAGTTATTTATAATCACAGTTCATTCACTCAGCACATAATTATTAAGCACCGATGTGTCAAGCACTGTACTATGCATGATATTTATCAAGAGTGAGCAAACTTTTTTGTAAAGGACCGGATGGTAAACATTAGGCTTTGCAGGCCAAGAGGTTCAATCAAGAATCTTTTACTGGCATCTATGTAAGGAGAGAAAACATTTCCACATATTTTTCAATGAAATTTAAAATACAATAACTATATGTGGTAGTAAAATACAATAACTATACTAGGTAGTATATTATATACATTATGTTATGTGTAATATCTAATAATAATTGTACAATTTTTGTAATTCAGAAATACTATTGAGATGCAGAGAATTATTTGGGGGTAGAGAATAGCTGACTTAATTGGAATTCAAAGTATTTACTCTTTCAAGAAACTGACTGTAAATGTTGTTCGTAAAAGAATATTCTTGACTCACAAACCTTTATGAAAATAGGGGGCCATAATTTGAGGGCTTTTGATGTATATGAAAGTGAATACGGCATACAAGGTCTAGTTCTCATGAATTCTGACGAAGGATAGATATTTTTAAAAAGGCAATTCCAGTTTTGTAATCTGTAAAATGGGGATATCCATCTATGAACCTACTCCTGCTGAGTTTGCATTGAGTTCACATACAGAAGGTACTTTCTCCTTCCTTTTTTTATAAAGGACTGTATTTAAGGCCATAAAAATGTGAAGACTAATAAAGTGGCCTAGACAGCAACAAACAGAATACAACTTAAGATTCCATAGAGTCATCACAGTAAAGACACCTCCATGTTGAGCTTATCTTCATTTGTCTTTGGGATTCATATAAAGCCATCTATTTTTGCCTTCAGAATTTAAGAAACTACCTACCGGGTCAGTAAACATGTTAAGAGATTTTGATGTGTGGTAGAAGGAGAAGAGGAGAAGTGGACGACAGAGGATGAGATGGTTGGATGGCATCACCGATCATTAGACATGAGTTTGAGCAAATTCTGGGAGATAGTGGAGGACAGGGAAGCCTGGCATGTTGCAATCCAGGGGGTAGCAAAGAGTCAGACACAACTTAGCAACTGAACAACATTAACTGAATTACATTAATATTAAGCTTTTATATATCTTAAAAACAAGGTAATAATATAAGCTTTGATAGTATTTTCAGAATATATCATCTTTAACAGTCTTCTTCTCGAAGCCAACGTCAGACATTAGTTTTGAGTCCATTCATACATTATTTCATTAAATTCTCACAATTCTGAAAGATGAATGCTAATATTTAATAACACTGCATTTTCCCCAGATTTATAGATCAATCAGCTTAGATTCAGACAAGTGATAAAAGTCTCCTGACAGCAACAGTGCTGAGAAACCAAGAAGGGAGCACAGATTTTCTAACATCAGAACTCTAGATAGGGGCTTCCATGCTGGCTCAGTGGTAAAAGAATCTGCCTGCCAGTGCAGGAGACACGGGTTTGATCCCTGGTCTGGGAGGATTCCATACGACAGAACTACTGAGCCAGCACTCTAGAGCCCAGGAACCACAACTGCTGAGCCTGCATGCCACAGCCACTGAAGCCTGTGCGCCCTAGAGCCCATGCTCCCCAACAAGAGACGCTATCGCAATCAGAAGCCCATGTATCAAAGCCCAGTTCAGTTCAGGCGCTCAGTCGCGTCCGACTCTTTGCAACTCCATGGACTACAGCACGCCAGGCTTCCCTGCCCGTCATCAACTCCCGGGGTTTACTCAAACTCATGTCCATCGCGTCGGTGATGCCATCCAACCATCTCCTCCTCTGTCGTTCCCTTCTCCTCCCGCCTTCAATCTTTCCTAGCATCAGGGTCTTTTTCAAGAAGTACCAAAACTAGAGAGAGCCCATGTCTTGCAACAAAGTCCCAGCAGAGTCAAAATAAAAAATATTTTACTTTAAAAAAAAGTTAATGGAGAGTTTATAGTTATTTAAATAAAATAGCAGCTACATTAGCACGTCAAAAAAGGATAAGGGAAAATATACATTTATATATGAGAGTGTGTATGTGTGTATAAACTTTACAGGGTAGCAGAAGTCTTAAAAATCAGGGGGAAAAAAGGACAGTAAACATACATATGAAGTTAGCAAATCCCTATAAATATCTAAGTAGAAAAATTATTTTTTAATATGAAAGAATGAAGTATGTTCTCTACATAATGGGACGAAATTAGACATCAAAAACAGGAAAACACTGAGGAAATTCAGAAACGTGGAAACAACATACTACTAAATAACCAATAGGTCAAAAAAGAAATCAGAAAGGAAAAGAGAAAATACTTAGAAATGAATGAAAATGAAAAACAATGTGCCAATTTATATGATGAAGCTAAGCAGGGATTAGATGGAAGAGCTGAAAATAAATATATTGGAAAAAAAGGAATACCTCAAACTGATAACCTAAACTTTCACTTTAAGAAAAGAAGAACAGTTAAACACTAAGCAAGTGAAAGGAAGAAAATAATCAAACAGAAAAACAACAGAGAAATTCAACTAAACCAAAAGTAGTAGGTTCTTAAAAAGATAAAATTTTACAAAGCTCTAACTAGACTGACCAGGAAAAAAAGAGAAACACTAAATCAGTAAAAAAGAGGAAAGAAAAGAGGAACATTACTACAGACTTTGGAAAAGTAAGGAGAATTGTAAGTGAATGCTATGAACAATTGTATGCCAATAAAACAGATAATGCCCTGGAGAAGGGAATGGCTACCCATTCCAGTATTCTGGCCTGGAGAATTCCATGGACAGAAGAGCCTGGTAGGCTACAGTCCCTGGGGTCACAAAGAGTAGGACACAACTGAGCAACTTCACTTCACTTCAAAACAGTTAATCTAATAATATGAACAGTTTCCTGCAAAGGCACAAATACTGAACTTGACACGAGAAGAAATACAAATCTGAATAAACCAGTAACAATTAAAGAGACTGGTTTAACAAACAAAAAAATTTTCAACAAAGAAAAGCCCAGGCCCACATGGCCTCACTGCTTAATTCTAATACCTCACAAAAATCCATTAAAAAAATAAAAGCAGAGGAAACATTTCTCAATTCAACATTAGACCAGCATTGCCCAGATTTTAAAACCAGACAAAGATACCTCAAGAAAAAGAAAATCAATATCTGTTATGAACATAGGCACAAAAATCTTCAAAAATAAATTAACAAATCAAACCTAACAACATATAAAAAGATTGCGGCCCATGACCAAATGGGACTGAACGCAGGATTGCAAGTTTCAACATGTGAAAACTAATCAATGTAACACACTACAGATCAATAAAGGACAAAATTCACGTGGTTATCTCAATAGATGCAGAAAAAAACACTTGACAAAATCCAACAGCTTTCATGATAGAAATACTCAACAAACCAGGTGGGGGAAGAGGATTTCCTCAATCTGATAAAGGACATCAATGAAAAACCCTCAAATAACATACATACATAATAAAAGCTGAAAGACCAAAAACTTTCTCCCTAGGATCAGGAACATGACAAAGACGTCTGCTCTCATCATTTCCATCCAACAGTGTGTTAGAAGTTCCAGGAAAGCAATTACACAAGAAAAATAAATAAAGGGCATCCAGACTGAAGAGGAAGTAAATGTTTGCAGATGACCTAATCATGTACATAGAAAATTTTAAGAATTTACTAAAGAAAAAGCTATTTGAGCTAATAAATGACTTTGGCAAAGTTACAACATACAAGATCAATACACAATCATCAGTTTTATTTTCACAACACTAGAAATGAATGATATGAAAATGAAATTAAGAAAATTTCATTTACAATACCATCAAAAATGGCAAAATGCTAAGGAATAAAGTCTAAGACCAGAGTTCGAAAACTGCAAAATGTTTTTTTATTTTTAGGCCACACCACACAGCACATGGGATCCTAGTTCCCTAACAATTGATCGAACCTGTGCCCCTGCATTGGAAGTGCAGGGTAGCCAAGGAAGTGCCCACAAAATACTGTTGAAAGGAATTGAAGACTTACATATTTTGAAAGACATCTCATGTTCATGGGATCAGAGAACTTAATATCATTAAGAAGCCAATACTCCCCAAATTTATCTACAAATTATATACAATCCCAATACAAATTCTAACTGGCATTTTAGCAGATGTTGATCCTCAAGGATAAGCTTAAGGATAAGGAAACGAAAGTGATGCAGAATAGCCAAAACAATTTTGTAGAAGATAAACAATTTAAATACTTGCCACAAAGCTACAATAACCAAGACGATATGAGTGTGCTGTGTGCTTAGTCACTCAGCCGTGTCCAACTCTTTGTGACGCCATGGACTGTAGCCGGACAGGCTCCTCTGTCCATGGGGATTCTCCAGGCAAGAATACTGGAGTGGATTCCCATGCCCTCCTCCTGGGGATCTTCCCAACCCAGGGATCGAAGCCAGGTCTACTGCATTGCAGGTGGATTCTTTACTGTCTGAGCCACCACAGCAACCAAGACTATATGGTACTAGCATAAATAACAACATGAAAGTCAACAGAATGAAGACTTCAGAAATAAACTCTCAGACTCATGGTCGACTGACTTTCTACAAGGATGTAAAGGCAATCCAGTGAGGGCAAAAATAATGTTTTTGACAAATCATAACAGAACAAACAGATATCTATGTGTGAAAGAATATAGCTGAACTCCTATCTAAGAGTATATTCAAAAATTAAATGGCTTAGATCTAAATTTAAGAGCTAAAAGTATAAAAGCTCTCAAAACATAGGATTAGATTTTCACAATCCTGTGCTGGGCAATGACTTCTTATATATGACACTGAAGCACTAGCCACAAAGGAAAAAAATTGGAGTTAATCTAAATTAAAACTTCCATGCATCAAAAGACATTACATAGAAACTGAAAAGATAACACACATAATTGGAGAAGATATTTGTGAACCATAAATCTGTTAAGTGTCTAGTATGCAGTATATATTAAAAAAAAAAACCTCAAAAACAAAGACAGTCAATTAAAAGATGGACAAGGATATGAACAGACATTTTTCCAAAGAAGACACACAAGCATAGGAGAAAAAGGCTCAACATCATTTAGACATTAAGGGAAATGCAAATCAAAACCACAATGAGGTAACACTTCATCTCCACTGGGATGAATAAAATCAATCATTTGATAACCCGTATTGGTAAGGAGGGATGTGGAAAAGCTGGAGCCCTTATAGGTTCTTAGGGGAAATGTAAATCATTGGAGCTGTTCTGGAAAAAGTCTGGTAGTTTCTCAAAAAGTTAAAAAATTACTATGACCTACCAATTTTACCCTTAGATAAATATTCAAAAAATTGACCACATCTACCAAAACACTTGTTCACAAATGTTCATAGCAGTACTATTTATAATAGCCAAAAGACAGAAAGAAGTCAAATATCATAAACTGATAAATGGATAAAATGTAGTATTATCCACATAACAGACTATTAATCAGGCTCAAAAAGGAACAAAGTTCTGATACATGCTACAACATAGATGAGCCTTAAAAACATTATGCTAAGGGAAAGAAGCCAAACACAAAGGCTACAAATTGTAATTCTATTTATATGAAACCTCCAGAATATGCAAATCCATAGAGTCAGAAAAGAGATCAGTGGTTGCTAAGGACTAGGGAAGAAGGAAATAACTGAAGATGGGTATGAGGGTTTCTTTTCGGGGCAATGAAGAGATTCTGTTTTGGATAATGGTGATGGTTGCACAACCTTATGAATATACTAAAAAACACTGAACTGCATACTTTCAAAGAGCAAATTTTATGTTATATGAATATATTTCAATTAAAAAACACTAAGAATCTGTGGTTATAACCATAAAACTTAAGGGTTTTAAAATCATCTTGTTCTAATTTCCACATTTTATGAAGAAACTGAGATACAAGGGGGGCAAAAGCAGATCATCCATGGATCCAAAGTTTGTTAACAGCAGAGCTGAGATCAGTCCTGGGTGTTCACTGGAAGGACTGATGCTGAAGCTGTAACTCCAATACTCTGGCCACCTCATGTGAAGAGCTGACTCACTGGAAAAGACCCTGATGCTGGGAGGGATTGGGGGCGGGAGGAGAAGGGGATGACAGAGAATGAGATGGCTGGATGGCATCACCGACTCGATGGACATGAGTCTGAATAAATTCCGGGAGTTGGTGATGGATAGGGAGGCCTGGCGTGCTGCGATTACGGGGTCGCAAAGAGTCGGACATGACTGAGAGACTGAACTGAACTGACACATACTATGTGATCTCAAAGAAAAATGACAACTTTATTGGGTCTTGTCTGTACGTTAATTAAGTTGACTAGGATGATTTTAAGGAACAGCTGAGAGGAAACATGAAGAGTCCTGAGCACAGTGTTTGGCACAAAAGATATGTAACCCTCTAAAATCTTTAGGACTCTAGACCAGTGCAGAGTTGCTGCAAAAGTTATAGTAATCATACGGATTTCTGGTTCATATTTTGCAACTTTTACGAGAACATTTTAAAAATCAGAGCACATTATGAAACATAACATCAATTTATGCTAGATAGAATAATATTTCAGAGAAGGTGATTTATAAATATTTACCTTGATCAAGTATTTTTCCCATCTGTCTGCTGTAACAGATTTGCCAATCTTCCTCATCAACTTCAAATGGAGCTCCACCAATTCTTTAGGTACTTAAAAGGAAGAAAAAATACTGTTAGTCAGCAAAATAAAACATTTCTAATGAGATTATTGAAAAAAAAAAAAAAAGAATTTTCCTGAAAGATGACTACTTTTTCAATACAGATGTTGATCTAGTTATCTTTTAGACCTCTGAATCAGAAAAGACTACACTAGGATAAGAAACAACTAAAAACCACTTTCTTAAAGATAAGCAAGAATATTCACGTTTTCTTTCAAAACATCAACAACTGAGAGTGAACTCTAGAATTCCCTGGTGGTCCAGTGGCTAAGGCACCACACTTTCACTGCAGCTTGATCCCTGGTTGGGGAACTAAGATCCCACATGGTGCACACAGCCAAAAAAGTAAGGGAAAAAGGGGGGAGGGGTTGAACTCTAAATGTAGACATTTGGGTGATAACGTATCAACGTAGGGTTCATTCAGTTTACCAAATGTACCACGATACTGTGGAATGTGGACAGTGAGAGAGGTTGTATTAATATATTCCTAGGGGAAGAGTGTATATATGAACTCTCTATACTTTGTGTTGAATTTCTTTGTGTGAATCTAAAACTGCTCTAAAAAATAGTCTATTAAAAAAAAAGCAAGTGAAAGCAATTAACCATACCATTAAAATTTCTACTGTCTGTTTCTCATATTTGGTTTGTTGACTAAGACTGCAAACCAAGACATGGATTCACAGAATTAGAAAGGGATCAATGAATATAAATTCCTATTGATAGGTATCTCAGAAATAGAGCCTAATCGTTTTCAAACTATTGCAGAAAACTACCCTTCTGATCTATTCCTTACCTAATGTGCTAAACTCCTCTAGAGCATCCCTATAAGTCTTTGCTTGACAAGCTTTAGGGACAGAACACTTACTTAACCTTAGAAAATTCTAATTATTAGAAAGTTACCCTTATACAAAGTAAAACCTCTGCCTACTTACATCTTCCTCTCCCTGGTTCTTGCTCTTATTCTCTAGTTTCAAAGAAGTTATTTTTCAAAAAAAAATATTTTCAATTCCTCTTTTAATCGAATCTTCAAATATTTGAAGATAGCTATATTTCTGCTTTATTGACTATGCCAAAACCTTCGACTGTGTGGATCACAATAAACTGTGGAAAATTCTGAAAGAGATGGGAATACCAGACCACCAGACCTGCCTCCTGNCAGTCCTGGGTGTTCATTGGAAGGACTGATGCTGAAGCTGAAACTCCAGTACTTTGGCCACCTCATGCGAAGAGCTGACTCATTGGAAAAGACCCTGATGCTGGGAGGGATTGAGGGCAGGAGAAGAAGGGGGCGACAGAGGATGAGATGGCATCACTGACTCGATGGGCATGAGTTTGAGTAAACTTTGGAGCTGGTGGATGGTCAGGGAGGCCTGGCGTGCTGCAATTCATGGGGTCACAAAGAGTCGGACACGACTGAGCGACTGAACTGAACTGAACTGATACCTTCCCTAAAGTTTTCCCTTTCAACTATGTAAACAATAGAGTTCCTCCAAATATCCTCTGGGCATGAGCCTGATTATGTGGTACAAATGTATTAATTAGACCTGAGGGAAATAAAAGACACATACATTTAGCATTTCCCAAATACTGCTAGTAACCTAGGAGAAATTACATTTATTCTATCTAAAAAGTTTCCATAATCAAATATATTAGGAAAATGCTGCATCAAAAAATATATACTTATTTTTACTATAGAACTTCCTGAAGCCTTTACTGATTATAGTCTTACATGCAGTCTTATATTCCTATCTTGGATATAGTCTGCAGCATTCTCTTAAATATATTTGATCATGGAATCTTTTTCTGTGAAACACGTAACACCTTGCAGTATACAAGGGCTCTGAAGTACAGGTTGAAAGGTGACTAATTTTTTTTTTTCAGTTATTCTTTCAGACTCTTTATTCTCCACTAAAGTCACTTCTAACTTGAAATGACCCTGAAGTATAAAAACATTTTCCCATTCAACAAATGTCTTGAGTCCACCTATATTAGCAAGCAAGAAATAGTAGCTACCTTTAATAAACCTACTTGAGGGACTCTTCTCAGAGGGGTAAACAGTGGGTGAGCTGGAGGTAAGAGGAAGAAGCACAGGGGGGATGATTATAAACAAGTAAACTGACAATTAAACTCAGCCAAGACCAGAATGTATGGGACTGAGGGTACAGTGGGGAAAAGGGGGAAGGACGTTGCTTACCAAAGTAATAAGACATAAGAGGCTGAAAAACAAAGTGAGCATGGAACTGGAAGCACCCAGGGAAGGGTCATGATCATGCAGAACCTTATAAGGCCAGGCTACAAAGTCTACATTTTATTCAAAAGGTACAAGAGAATGCTCTATAATTTAGAAAGCTCTCAAAAACTGAACTGCAGGAAAACAGATTGCTTTTATTTGCTTATTTGTTTTAGGTAGTGGTATGCAGGGTAGAGACTAGATATAAATTCAGGAAAATATCAATCCAGAAAGATGGTAGAAACCGGAACTAAGGCAGAAGTGGTGCCAAGAGAAGTGGGGGAGACTTGAGATATATTTAGGACAGAAATAAGAAAACTTAGGGATTGACTGCACAAAGTGAAAGAGTCCAGAAAAACGGAGGCACCGACAGGCAACTGAGTACATGCCAATGACAACAGATCAGGAAAAGACCTGGGCTCAATTCTTAGCTCCACTACTTAAGATAAGGAGACCATGACCCTGGCCAAGTTCTTTCAACAATGATTCTCAAACTCCTCATCTGTAATAAAGAGTTGAACCGGCCATCTTAAAGTTTTAAAAACACAAAACATCATATAAAGCTGAAATACCTTTATTTTCATTTCTGTCATGATATTTGGGGATCCAAGGTCAGTTTCAATTGCTCCTTTTTCCTTTTCCCCAAATGCAGTAGTACCTTTCAACATCTCAAACCTGCTCCCTATTTCCCCCGATTTCTCCAGGATATCATGGCACCTCCTCACTTCAGAAAAACAGGTACGGATACTCTGCTGTATCCAAACCAATCTACAGAAAAAAAGAAAAAGTACTGCTTTCATGCCACTTTCCAGTTCATAAATCTCTCTGATGGCCCCTAATAAACTCATTCAGATTTCTCACCAAGGCCTCAGAGTCCCAACATTCAGTTTAACCTAATTCTCCAATCCTTCTCTCTCTTCTGCACTGAAATCCTTGATTCAAATCATTCTGGCCTGTTCAGTGTCCACTAAGCATACTCAGTACACAACCCATCTTGACTTTGTTCAAGCGCTCTAGTCTACTGTTTTCTGCAACTTGCATCATATTTATCTTTTAATGTCTGGTCAATGAAAGTCCCCAAAGTCTCTGTGATACCTTTACAATGATTCCAGCAACATTTTTGTCCTTGGAATGCCTATGCCTATTATCTTCATCACTCATTTATCAGTTGAATAAAAGCTCTGCACTCGTGTTCTATGCATATCTTCCATATCACAAATGAAATCATAAAAAATTTTGATACAATTGGTACCTATAAAATTTTTTAAATTTTTGAAGAAGTCAAAATAAATTTTATTTATTGTAAAAAATCCAAAAGGACAAAAATAAATATATAAATAAATATGATTTCATCTCACTTTGCAAATATATTCATTCTTGATAAAGGCATATAGAAGTAGATTATATACTACTTGCCTTCCTTATTAAAGCATTGGCTCTTTCACAGCATTATCCAATAGAAATACAAAATGAGTCACACAATTTCAGAATTTCCAGTAGTACATTCATTAAAGTAAAAATAGGTCAAAATTAATTTTAATATTTTGTTAAATTATAAAATTTAACACTATATAACTGATTATTTCAACATACTATTGTCATTTAAAATTTCAGATTTTTACATTTTTACTTGACATTTTACCTACTTATTTTTTAGTTGAGGTATAATTGACATATGACATAATATTACTTTCAGGTGTACATCATAATGATTTAATATTTCTTACACTGCAAAATGATCACCACAGTAAGTCTAGTTAACACTCAACACCATACACTGTTACAATTTTTCTTCTTCTGAGAACTTTAAAAAAGGTTTTATTTATTTACTGGCTGAGCGGGGTCTTCCTTGCTGCATGTGGACTTTCCCTAGCTGCAGTGCGTGGGATTCTCACTGCAGTGGCTTCTCTTGTTACAGAGCACCAGCTCCAGTGCTTAAGGGCTTCCGTAGTTGTGGCACATGGGCTTAGCTGCCCCATGGCATATGGAAACTTCTCACATCAGGGGTCAAACCTGTGTCCCCTGCATTGGTAGGCAGATTCTTAATTACTGGATCACCATGGAAGCCCTTATGAGAACTTTTAAGATCTACCTGCTTCAGTTCAGTTCAGTTCGGTCGCTCAGTGCTGTCTGAATCTATGCGACTGCAGGGACTGCAGCACGCCAGGCCTCCCTGTCCATCACCAACTCCCAGAGCTTACTCAAACTCGTGTCCACTGAGTTGGTGATGCCATGCAAACAAGGTCATCCTTTGTCGTTCTCTTCTCTTGCCTTCAATCTTTCCCAGCATCGGGGTCTTTTCAAATGAGTCAGCTCTTTGCATCATGTAGCCAAAGTATTGGAGTTTCAGCTTCAACATCAGTCCTTCCAATGAATATTCAGGACTGATTTCCTTTAGGATGGACTGGTTGGATCTCCTTGCAGTCCAAGGGACTCTCAAGAGTCTTCTCCAAC